GCAGCGCGGCCGCGATCGGGCATCGGCGCCAACGAGGTGTCTCTGCTAGCGAGACCCGTCTCCGCGCTCGCCCGTCCGAGTCCTGCCGCTTCGCGGGGCTCGTTGTAGAAATAAATGAATATGTCGGAGATTGGTGCAACTGCTCCGCCAGCGGTCGCGAGTCCTTCGGCGCTGCGCGCGGGCGGAAGTGCGACCCCGCTAGGGGCGGCGCGCCATTTGCGCACCCGCCCCCCCTGCCCGCGCGGGGGCGCCGCGGGGGTTCGCGGGGGGGCCCTTCGACGTGGGCCCCAGAGGACGGGGGGCGCCAGGAAAGCAACGGCGAAGTCCATGCCCCATTCAAGCAGCTGCCAGATCAAATGCGGCGCGCGCGAACGGGGGGCGGGCAACGGCGACCCTGCGACGCGTGGCGCGAAACTGGGTCCGCGAGCTATCGGGCAGACTATGTGCCCGCCTCCGCCCCCAGGAGGTCCCTAATATGGCCTCGCGAAGCCGCCTGGGTGGCCCGAGACCCCCGAGACGCTCCCGCGAGTGCCCCGAGACGGCCCTGAGAAGGCCTCGCGACGGGCCCAGAGGTTGCCAGGGCGGCCCCCGGCGGGGCGTCGCAGGCCCAGGGCCCCCGAGGTATTGAGGATCCCCAGTGCACCTCGAGATTCGGCGCCCCGTTTTGCCCCCGAGAAGCCCTTTAGAATACTCCGAGACGGCCGGAAAAAACCCGCGATGCTCCCGCGGGGGCCCCGCGGCGGCTCAAATGGGCCCAAGACGGCCCGGGAGAATCCCAAGAGGGCCCCAAAACGGCCGAAGAGTCCCGAGAGGGCCCCGCGACGGCCCAAGACGGCGCCCGGCGGGACTCCGCGGGCCTAGGAATTCCCAAGGTATCTAGCGTTTCCTAAATACTTTTCGACTCGGCTTCCGCATCTATCTGTAAGAAGGCACCTGGAAAGCCCAAGAGAGCCCCGAGATGGCTCGACGCGCCAACGAAGTGCCCCAACGAACGCCCCCAGAAAAATCCAAGGAGGCGTCGAGAAACACCCCCTCTCCTCCATATGTCGTCATTCTGTCCTGCTTTGGGCTAGCGGCAACAACCGTGACGGCGTCGAGGTTGCCGCCGCGAGCTCTGAGCAGGATGGCCTGACTCTATGGCAGCGGCGCGAGCATCGTGCAGAACCCTCGCTGGCCGCGCTCCCGGCCCCCGCGTCGCCCGCGCAAGTCCCCGCGAATCCCCGGCGACGTCCCCGCAGGCCTCCGCGAATCCATGCGAATCCCCGGCGATGTCCCCGCCAGTCCCCGCCGGCGAAGCGCCACCCGCTCGCGCGTCGGGCGTCGCGCTCGCGGAACCTATGCGTTTCCGCCAGCCGCCGCGGCGGCCCCGTCGCCGCCGGGCCGTGCTCCCGGCGCATCCGCCGCTGGCGGCGCTGCCGTCGGACCCCTCGGCGCTCACGCTCCCTCGGAGCTGCCGCCGGCATACTCGGGGATTCCGCTGGCGTCCGCGGCGCTGCCGGAGCCGCCGCCGCAGGGGGGCTGCCGTCGCCCGCCCTGCCGCTGCCGCAGCTGCTGCCGCTGGTGCTGCGCTGCGGCTGTAGCTGCTGCCACTGCCCGAGGCCGTCTTTGCCTGGGCGGCCTTCGCTGGATCCCCGGCCGGCGCCGCCGGGGTCTCGGGGGGGGGGGGGCCCTCCCCGCAGCGCTCCGCGGGTTGCCGGCGGCGGGAGCGGCCGGGGCCGCTGCTGCCGGGGTCGCCCCCCGGGCTGCGGGCCTTCTGGGAGCGCGTTGCGGGCGTTCTGGGGGCACGCACGCACGCATGCACGCAAGCACGCATGCACGCATGCACGCATGCACGCACACGCACACGCACACGAACGCACACGCACGCACACAGACGCACACACACACACACACGCACACACACACACACGCACACACACACACACGCACGCGCACACGCACACGCTCACGCACACGCACACGCACACACGGACGCACACACACACACAGACGCACACGCACAGACACACGCACACACGCACACACACACACACGCACACACGCACACACGCACCAACGCACACATGCACACACGAACCAACGCACACATGCACACACGCACACACGCACACACGCACACACGCACACGCACACGCACACACGCACACGCACACGCACACGCACACGCACACGCACACGCACACACACACACACCGTCATTCACGCATCCACGCGTCCACACATTCACACTCACGCACATTCACACATCCACACACACGCACATACAACGTACAAACATATCCCACGATTCCCCAGTGTACCACAGGTTCTTGATCTTCCTATCTGTTCCTGGGGATCGACGATTCTTAGTGTCTGTTTTCTTCACACACCCCTGGCATGTACATGAACACGGCCCCGTGATCCGTGAGACCCGCAAAACACAATATGTACGCGCCCGACACTGTACGTGAACACGGCTTCGCGATCCGCTAGACCGGCCGTGTGATACAGCCAGCCCGTAGTATCAGAAGGATGCACGGTGAGGATGCAAGGGCCTTGGAGGCCCATGCAAACGTTTAACGAGGTTGGCCCATAAAAAAATCGCTAAGGATGGGCTGGATGGGGCAAGTATGCCAAGGGGCACCCTTGGGAAGGCTGCCCATCCTTACTATGCGGGTTGACTGTACGAACATTCGCACCACGCGCACTCTCGAAGCCATCGTGCACGTCCTCCTTTCGCTCCTGACCTCTCTCGAGGCCTCCTGGGTGGGGTCGGAGTAGATGGGGTCGGAGGATCGCGCCGCATCGCCAATACATTACATCGGCGATGCATCGGCGATGCACTGGCGATGCATCGTCGACGTCGGCGACGTCGACGTGACGCAAATCGGGTTCCACATCCAGCCGCATCTGCGATGCATCGTCGATGCGGCGCGATCCTCCGACCCCATCTACTCGGACCCCATCCAGTTTTAGGTCGGGCATGTCCTCCAACGGGCGGATCCTGAACGAAAAAAACACAGCATACTCATACATAACCCAAAACACGAACATACTTTAAAGCATCGCCCCCACACTATTCTTTGGCTACGGCAGGTTCGTGCCGTGTCGACCCCAGCGTTGGTTTTTGACACCGCGGGGATCGTTCAACCTTGAACGATCGGCCGCTGCCGCAACGTCCGATCCTTCAACATCGATCGATTCTGGGTCGCCGGCGGCGTTCAACCTTGAACGTCCGCGCTGGGGTCGCCGCTGGTCGACGCGACGCAAACCTACCGTACCTTTGCATACTCCTCCCGTGCAAATGTCGCCCTCCTCCTTCCCGCTTCCCGGCGGCCCCCCCCGAAACGGGGGGGGGGCGGGGCGCGCGAGGGGGGGTCGGCCCGCCGAGAGGACAGGGGGGGGGGGGGCCCTTCTCGGAGGGGCGCCCGCCCTCCCGAGGAGGCCCTCCCTGGGAGGCCTCCGGGGGGGCCCTCTCGGGAGCCCCGGGCGGCCTCCTGAGCAGCCCCTCCGCCTGCTCCGTCGGCCGCCCGCCTCGCGCAACCCCCTCGCGGACGCCGCGAAGCTCCCCTCCTTCCCTTTCCCTTTCCCTCTCCCTCTCCCCTTTTTGTTGTTGTTTCTTGTCCTTTCGCTCTCTGTCTGTCTCCCTCCCTCTCTCTTCCTGTGAGGCGAAAGCAGGATCAGGACAGATTCGAGCATCCATGAACACTGACTGGTGGGTTTGGAGGATATCTCGGGCGGCGCGGCCGTTCGAAGGCGCTCCAGAACGCCCTAAGAGCGTCCTGCAACGCCATGGAGCGATTCATCATCACCCTAGGCCTGCCAAGTTTGGCTGGTAGACAAAATGAGCTGTACGAGAAAAATGCTGCATTTGAACCTACTTCTTCGGCACATCGGAATGTTTGCAATGACAATGACGATGGGTCGCCGAAAAGTTGGGCTCGCAAGCGCCGGCGCGGACGACCAAGACAAGAACGGGCATCTTCAGTTCACACCACTTTGTCGCAACATGTGTGAGCAGATCTGTCATCTTCATCGTTCGGCTTCATCCATCGTTGTCGTCTAAAGTATGGTCGCGTTTGGCCGCACCTGTGTGCTTCGAGTGCCGCTGGCCCTCGGGTTGCAGCGCTTGGCTGCATTCCTTTTTCCGTCAGCGCGTCCACCTGGACGCAACGCTTCTGTCTGTCTAGGCCTGCCCGGCCCTTCTGCCCGGCCCTTCTCCCTCCTGCTGCCCAGGCCCACTTCCTCTCCGAGGTGCTCCCTCTCCGAGAAGAGACGGCGCGCACACATGAAGGTCCGCAAAGATCTCTCGGATTGGCGCTTGGCCCCATCCCTAGCGTTAAGTCGGGCGTGTCCCCCTACAGGGGGATATTCGAAAAGTAAAAATACTCTAAACATCCTCAAAATATGCCCCACAATAGTCAACAAAAAAATCCCCAGACTATTTTTTGACTATTTTTGGCTATTCCCCCTGTAGAGGGACAGGCCCGACTTAACCCTAGCGCGCGAAGCGCGCCAGTGGCGGCGCCGGAGGCGCCGCCAGGGTGAGGAGGAACGACCGGAGGGGGACTGGCTCAGGGGGGTCACATTGACCTGGAATCGGCGATACGTCGACGATAGGTCGGCGATGGGCCCCCGATAGCCAGTCGTTATGTTCCCCTAGTACTTGAGGGCCACATCCCAACAATAATTTCGAGCACTCAGAAAAATACCGAAACACCCGCTGGCGAAGTGTTGAGCGAGCATCTCCTGCCAGGGCTCGACACGCGAACATCTTCCAGTGTGGGTAATTCCTTGGTGCTCGAAAGTCTTCCTGGTGACCAAAGCTCAAGTAGGTTGGAAGATCATACCCCAATACTCGGTTAATGGGCGATCGGAGGTCACTGCGTACCCCCCTCGGCCTATCCTCTCCTATCCCTGCCCTGGAAGGAGGGCCCTCGTCGCCCTCTTCTCGCCCCGTGCCGCATGCTCCTGGCCGGTCACCCCTCGCAGGGGCAGGGGAAGAGGCGGGGGCGGCTGGCTTGAGGCAGAGCGACAGTATCACCGTCGCGATGAATCTGGAGGCCACCTCGCGGGGAAGCCGTAGGGAGGGGTTGGGGAGGGAACGCCGCCCAAACGGGCCCGAGGCAAATCGGGTCAGAGGCTCGCGGCGCATCGGCGACGCATCGGCGACATCGGCATTGGGAACCTCCGGCTCCAGGCCGCGCCCCATTGTCCATCCATCGGCAATGCGGCGCGATCCTCTGACCCCACCTGCGCAGACCCCACCAAGGGCCCTGGAGGGACCGCCGGCACCGAGGAGCTGATTGGAAGAGGAGATCTAGAGGACAGCGAGGGGAGACGAGTGCCATGTGATGCGGATGGCGGAGGAAGAGGGATGGTGGTGACGATACTGATGGTGATGGTGAACATGATGATGATGCTGATGATGATGATGGTGTTGATGACGATTTTTCCTCGACGTTAGGGCTAAGAGTAGATGACTTGATTCATCATTTGAGCTAAAATCAGGCCCGTCGCAGAGAGACGAAACTCTCGGTTGACCCCGCATGGGGCGACACTCTATGGGTGCTTCACAGGGGAGCGGCATGCCATCGAGTGGGGATTACAGCTGCAAAACCTCAGCAGTTCTTCCTCTGCGGCGAAATCGGCCTCATCGAGGTACTCAACAACGAAACTGGGTGGCTGTGTGTCAGGCGCTGGTCTGGCTACAGCTGGGGCAGGCGGCGAGTCAGGCGGTGGCCTAACATACTCAGGTGATGATGAGGACGATGGTCGGGACGATCTTCGTGCCGTTATCGTGCCTGGCAGGACTCCACCTCGCAAGAAATTTATTCGTGGTCGAGTGTCTCCAACCAGTGCCCGACCTCGTCCTCGAGCCAGCCCGCTGGCGCTACTCCGTGATGGTGAGTGACCACGCCCTCCGAACGGAATGCTTTCATGAGAAGTTTCCTGCCACCCCATTCGGGAGCTCCAATGATGAGTTTCATTTTCTCCGTGTCGAAGCAGTTCTCGAGTCGAATGAAGCTGATCTCCTCGGCCAGATCTTCCTTGCATATGTCTGGCTCCATACTGCCGTCGGGCGGGTTGGTCTTCAGCAGGTATTCCTCGATCTCGGTGCGGAGCGCTCCCCCGATGTCGCACTGCAGTGCTCCTTCCAAGGCCGCGAGGCCCATGCTGGGCGCGGGGGGGCCGATCTCCTTCATCCTCTTCTTGTCCTCCGCTGAGCCCTGACGTAGCTGGTCCAGGTGCTGCTTGTAGCCCTCCAACTCGTTGCTCACCGCGTCGATCACCTTGTGAGTCTTTGGGCAAGTGTAGGTGTCCGTGGCCAGGGAGCTGTTCAGCCTCGTGCGGTGCGCCGTTTGAAGCACCAACTTCAGAGTCGACTTCAGTAATGATAGTAATTGCTTGTCCTTGCTGGTCCACTTCTTCTCCGCGTGGTCGCCGCGCCTCGTCCTCCGTCCGCCACGGCGCGCCTGCTTGCGCCGTGGCGCTGCCTCGGCCCCTCCCCCGTCCGTGGCTTGATCTCCCTCCGCGTCCTGGTCGCGCCGAGGTGGGGGCGGGCCCGCCAGCTTTGGCTTTGCCATCGGTGGTTGTCCTGCTTTGGATCCGCTGCCAGATGCCTCTGAGACCTTCGAGGAGGCCAGGGGGAGACGCCACTGAGCTCGCGCTGGTGACTTCTCCTTGGCAGCCGCTTCCCCCGACATCTTGCCGTGGCGGGGGCCGTGGAACGGTAGGTGTCGCTGTCAAGTAAGCTGGCCCAGCTATCGGTGTCGCTGGGGCACCAGTTGCCGAGGGTCGTCGTGAATGAGCTCTCACTCGTGGCCGACGGTCGGGAGCAGAGGCAGCCTGGTCAACACCTTGACGTAATAAAAGATCTGTGGCTCGTCGAAGCTGCCGTCGAGCACCCGAAGTATCGCGCGCAGTACGGGGCGGCCGTCTAGCGGGATGTGCAGGTGGCGGTGGTGGGGCGCCTCCTGATGAGGCGACCTGAGGCCCTCTGGCCTCACGTCTGTACGCAACCTTGAGCCGTGATCCAGATGGCGACATAGGAAGGTGGGTATACACATGGGCACGTAGCGCTTCAGGGTCCATATAGTCATGATGACATGCTGGATCAAGATCGTAGTCACATAAGGGACACGTCGTAGTCGTAGCTGCTGTCCATGTATACTCATGATGTGTGAGGTCGTGTATACATCGTCCAGCAATCCATGATCTGCGAATATGGCGTACAGCATGTTCATGATTGAGAAATGTGGTATGACATGCGATACATTTATTATCAAATTGCAGTAATGTGAGTATAGCTGGATGTCCGTGGCCGTCCGCTTTTGATTTCATTCGATGCGTTACCAACCGTTTAATAGTCTCAAACCTTTCCGAGCATCCAGGAATCGTACATTTGAATGGTCGCTCGTTCTCGGTTTCGCTGTCGGTCTCGGCGTGTTCAGCGGACGGAAGGGCCTCGGAGAGTCTACTGGTACCTGGGGGGGGTCCATCTCGTGGTCCAGAAGCTCGCTCGCAGCGCTCGGGTGTCGCAATATCGGAAAGCTTCACGGACCTCCTCATCCTCCCAAAGGGCTTTTATCACCTGTGGCCGCCATAGTTCCCCAAACGTTTGTCCGATGGGATGTTCGGCCAGGCACTGCAAATCGTCGGCAAGCTGTAATGCCCACGGGTGCGTCGAACTGGCGGTGGCGATCTCACCCTGCGTCGTGAGGGTAGGGCCAGCGCGCGGTCGATCGTTCGAGTCATTCTCGAACCTGCACCTGCCAAAGAAAACTGCCAGAAAGTGGCTGTGATGCGTATGATCTGCAAGTAAGCTTTGCCACCAACTGAGCCTGCGCACGAGCAACTCGATGGCCGTCGGAGCGACTTGCCATTCTCGAAAAAGCTGAAGAGTGGTGGGGGAATGATGGGCATCATGTTCATCAATCTGATGTGCTCCTCCCCTCATCATGGCTCGAAGTTTACGTGCGAGTGATTTATCTAGGCGGTGTGTTTCTCGTGGGCGTAATACGTAGCTTTCCAGGCCTGACCATATACGGCCAGCCACATTCGCGAGAAATGATAGTCTCTGACTTTTCCATGGGCCCCCAGAGAACCAGTAGTCCCCAAGACGTGTCCATCCCACATTGGCCGAATGAATACGTTCACCAACTTCTCGAAGATTACTGTTTGTGACGCTGACGTATCCTCCTAAGTGTATGAGATCCTGTTGGGCCCTCCCCAGGACTCGGCGTTCGGCCTCCTTAGTGGCAGCTCGGGTTCCCAACGAGACCAACGTGTCCTGCTTTTCAACGTTCTGGGCGTAGCCTCCGAAGGATAGGGTCTGGGCGAGGGTATTGTTATCGATCATGTCGAGCAATATTGCCTGATGAGCCGTCCCGTCAGGGATGGGGAGTATCTTAAACAAGTCATCGATGGAGGCGCCTAGGTGACCCTTGTGGGTCGTTGACGTAAAAGGGCACGCAACACCGAACGGGGGCCCCTGCACTTCGGCCATCTGCGCTTCCCAATGCGATACCAGGGGGTAGAAAGATCCCATGAATAATTCTGGTTCATTTGAGCCCCCCATCCTCCCTCCAGTTCCTGGCCGAAGAGCAAGGTTGGCGTCCGAAGCCTGGAGGTAAACTACGGCCTGCTCACGGTGCTGAGAAAGGAGAGGATGGAAATGTTCGTCCTCGCATCTCAACGTGTGTGCTGCAATCAGCCGCTCATGGGAGCCCGTGGCGAAGGCATTGCGCATGTCGTAAGACTTGGCCAAGAACGAAAGTCGCGAGCACCTCAGCTTCCAAATCATGAGCTTGGCCAGCGCCATAAGTGCCTCTCGCCTCCGAGCAAAAATGCCTCCATAGGCCCGCGGAGGGGGATCATATTGACTGCCGTACTTCAAAATGCCGATGCGAAGATATAATCGCCAAAAATGGTCGAAACAGTTGAGTAGCCGAACACAATTCTGAATGTCAAACGTGGGTCGTCCTGTAGGGAACTTGCCTTTCTTGCCGATTGCGATGGCATGGCTCGTGACGGCCTGGGCTGGCAACTGCTGGGTGCGATGCGCATGAGCGATCAGCTGCACGAAAGCCTGCACGATCTCATAACACGAGCGTTGATCAAGTTTTAGCCGTCGCTGTCGGAAAGGCTTCTCGGAGGTCGCCAAGAGATGCGCTGAAGGGTAGTCCTGGGTCTGAAATCCAATGCCTGCTCGCTGTTGTCCAGGACGCGTCAAGTACGTGGGGTTGAGCAGCATGATTGTGATCTCGATCGGCCATGCCCAGGGCGGATTGTATCTGCGGCGCTTCTCGCGCCAAAGCCTTTTTTGAATGTGTTGAAGTTCTTCAAGCGCTGCCTCGTGCTCCTCCATGGTTGGGACGCCCGCGTCATATCCTACTGGTTGAACGTCCTCTGTCAGCGAAAGTAATCTCGTGATAGCTGTGGGGTCGTCAATGTACATGCTGGGGTGCGCCATGCTGGCCTGGATGCCGCCGTCGGTGGCGGCAACTTTCAATGCCCCAAAATATTCAGCGCCACTGGGGCGGGGCGTGTAGCAGGCAAGGAAATATATGATCGTCGGCGTGCTCCAGTTCGGCGTCCAGCTCGAATATAAGTAAGATGTGAAACTCGCGATAGATCCCTTGCGGCCCAAGCTTCGCGAATGTCCTGATCCAAACTAACTTTCCACCAGTGGTCCATTTCCCGTTGATGTGCTTTGAGTTGCTTTTGGATGTTCCGAAGCTCGCTGGAATCGAAGTCGTCGCCTTCTGCGCGTGCTCGTCCACGCCGTCGCAATAGCTGGAGTCGTTGCTGGCGGGCATCCTTCCACCATTCAGGCTTGTTGTTCGTCGTGCCGTACAGCTTGGAAGCCTGAGTGGTGATAATGTGATGGAGAATAGCATTGTGTCTGGTAGGGAAGTGGTCCATGCGCGCTGCCCGTAGGGTTTCCTTGTGCGTGTCCAAGTCCTTCGCGACAGCCTCGATAAGGTCTTCCCTATATGTGCCTTTCTGCAGTCCCTGAGCGAGTAGTCCCCAATCCCATCGATTGTTGGCCTGCAACGGGTCGAC